CCTACGTGCGACTGTTAAGGCCTTTCAGGAGAGAAAATGGGTTCGGCCTATTCTGAGCGACACGAGCAAGCAGTACTGGTTGCCAATACTGGAACTCTCTCCATAACTCCAAAAGGAAGAAGGCTCTGACTTCGTTGTAAGCGCACTTACAGGATGTTCCCGATAACAAAGTGAGAAGATGGCCGCGGTTGGAAGCAGATGGAGAGCTGAGGATGACTCCGAAACTGGACGTCCACGGAAAAAAAGTCCTGCTTGTTCATGATGAAACAGTATAGGACTGGCCCAATATGGAGTGCTGCTTGTTGGTCAGACAGTTACAGCTGAACCCTGCGCACAACAGCCAGCCCGCGTTGGCCAAGCGCTGCGTCGTCAAGTGGGAAATCCGGCCTATTATAAAACTATGGCACGATAACGCAGGGCACATGTCGCGAAAATTACGCTACAAAAAATGGAGTTGGGCTAGAACGTTGTACCTTCTGCGCCATATAGCACAGATCTGGCGCCGTCCACTATCATTGACCCAGGTCAATGCCGCGCTCCTTAGCAGCAAATTAATTCAATAACCGCGACGACGTCAAAATTTGAGTACCTAACTTCTTCGAGTCGTACCTGAAGAGTTCTACGAGGTAGACCTCCATGCTTTGCATAACAAAAGGTGGAGAGTGGATGAACACATGGAGGAAATAAATTAGGTTGATAAGCTTTGGTATAGCTTTTATACTTAAAATAATCGTTGATCAAAAACGACATTTCAAAGTTACCAACCTAATATTTTGAAGTTTTCATAGTTTTTGGTAAGAATCTGAAACAACGCAAGGAGGTACCTCCGCCATTAGGAGCTGCTACAGCAGTCATAGCAGATGGAGCGCCACCACCAGGAACAGCTGTCATTGTTGATGCTGAAATTGGAGCAGCGCTTATTAACCATTATTAAAACTGATCGAGCTATTCTTGGAACTGAAAGAGGTAACCTCCAGCCGGTGCTCCCAGTGCCGTCATTGTTGAAGTGGGTTTCAAAGCAGTCATGGTAGAAGCTAAACAGTAAATTCTAAGGATGAATATAGAGCGCATTTTGACGTTATTTTAGCTGTTCAATTTACTTCTTTTTCAAGTTGTCTTCGGTAAAAATTTGAAAGGAAATAAGCAACGAAATACCTCCGCCAGGAGGTGCTGCTACAGCAGTCATTGCAGATGGAGCGCCACCACCAGGTACAGCTGTCATCGTTGAAGCTGAAATTGGAACAGCACTTACTAGCTACTCTGCTGGTTATATTATACAGAAACCCAAAAATCTTGAAAACTCCCATTCCAGGATGTTTCTGAAAAACCTTTGATGAGAAAATGTGCCGAATACAAATGCGACTTGACTGTCGTGAATCACGAGGATCAGTCCGAGGGGCTCTCGGGTGCGCCGACGCCCGCGGTGGTCACCGTAGCAATTGACCCCTACAATCAACACGATCAACACGTGAGGGAATCCCACCAACGGAGACGGCGGTAGCTCCCGTCACGGTCGGTCCCCTTCAACCTTTTTTCGGTTCTACACCCGCGTAAGCGTACGTCTTTTCCATATAAATTGCGGTGCGCTGCGTCGAGTAGGGTTTGGCTCTTAGAATTCGAAAATGTTGACCAATACGAATAATTCGACGGGCTCACGGACCCTACCTCTACGAGGACCTTTCTCAATCGCGATCTTATCGTTTCGTGGTTATCATTTACACTTTTACTTTCACACTTCAAATTCTTGGACAACACCATGGGGTGATTCATTATATAAACCAGAAGGTTTGGTGTGTCGGTTTGTTTGTGTGCGTGTTTGCACGTCTGTCTGTCCGTCCGCAAAATGGTCGACTAGAGGCGAAAGATATCGTGATTGTGATACCACTTTCCTACCAGTATAAGAACAACCATTCAGTAGGATCGAATTCATTTCGGGGGTTTGGCTGTAAAGCAAGAGCTAAGGATTAGGCCTGTGGGCAGTCACCGCGCGACGTCGTACACGCGGCTTGCCGCGTGCGGGAAACCGCGCGACAAATTCGAGCGAAGGTTATTAGGCATTTACTGCTTCCCGCGCCAAGTGTATTCGTCAAATACTTTCCTTTGTTTCCTTTTACTTTCGTTTTAATTTTTCTCCCAATCCTTCTCGATTTTTTCTTTTCATTAAATTTGACTCAAGCGTTCGCGTTGACACTAGAGCGTTCATACTTACAAGTGTTATGTGAGGTGGTACCGGGACACTGTGGGTGAAATAGGATGATAGAAACTAATAAGGGCTGTCAGGGCGCCTTGAACTCACAAGTCCCCATTCCGTTGAGCAGCTGACATTGACACTTGAGCGTTCATAATTACAAGTGTTTATGGGGTGGTACCTGGACATTGTAGGTGGGCGACAAAAATGATAGCAACTGATAGGGGCTGATAAGGAGTCTTAGAAGGCAGAAGTCGGCAATTCCATTGCGCAGTTCACGTTGGCACTATGGGGCTCTTTTCATAAGTGTTATTAGGGGTGGGTCGTGGACATTCTATCGATATAATCAGCTTGGCTTGAGCAGACTCTTGGCGAATGGTACATTCCATTCTTGATCTAATACCAAGAAGACCAGAACTCATTTAATGACCGCCAAAGCTTAGGATTTGCGAACACTGTGAATGAAGGATCAGCATTAGATGCTCACTTATGATAATGTTGCAATTTAATTGTGAGGCTAACACCATAACCCTATTCACCGCTAAATTATCAAATTCAGGAGAATGGCCGAGTGTTTACAGAGCTATGTGTGATAAATATACCTGGAGTGCCTGCGGAATCTAGGTGCGTATATGTACGCGCGATACCGGTCGGAGCAAACGCGGGTTAGTTCATAAACACATTAATACGGGGTTTAACAGTTCAATTAACAATTATTGGTGTTGTTTGATAGTGCGACATTCAACCCTCGAGTATCGAACTACATAAACTATAAGTTACCTTGTAATTGCTCGTTGTGTAGTCGAGGATGATGTTAGACTAGGTATGGGGAGTATGACAGTAGTCCGGGGGCGTAGGGGGTCTCAATAGTACGCCAATGGCGAAAAAAGCAAAGAAATCCGTCAAAAATAAGCAAAATAGTACCCCTTTGATTGCCCTTTCATTTTCGACCATGGATGAGCGACGGTAAAGAACGACGTTGTTCGGACGTGTTAACCCCGATAGCCGCCATCATGCCAACAAGCATAGTGTTTTGATTGATAAGGCAATACGTGGGCAAGTTGGAAGATACAGCCGCTAGAAGGGAAATGATCATCCAAAATGAAAAGCCAACAGCAAGTCCATCCAGATCATCAACAAAACTAGTGGGCGTCACGTCACTGGGGGCGGCGTCACGCGGGTCCTGCTCAGCAACCACAGCACCTTTCGCCGTGGGAGGACCACACATCGCTTCCTTGGCAGCCAAGTAATTGCTCCGTGTGGCGCAGGTTCTCCCCGATGCAAAAATTCCTTATCGTAATCGCTTCCTTTAATAAGTGGAGTATTTCATAGAAGATCGGAATTATTTGTGAACAGCAGACAGAGATATTACTGTACGAAATAAATGATTTATTCTAGTTAGGAGTCATCAAGTTCGCGGGCTTTCTGTGTTGTTTTTCTATGTAAGTAACTGTTTCTTTTTCAATAGAGCGTTAACCAGAGATCGAAGGATTTGAAGGATTTTCGAAAGGAGGATTTTTTGCCATCTCACACCCGAGCTTTCGGGCTATTAGTTAGTGATTTCTAATATGACGAAGTGGGCTATAAGGAACCTACTAAAGCTAAAGCGAGTAGCTTGCACCCAAATCATGACCGCCCTAGCCTCATTCTTCGAGTTCGAAATAAGAAAGCGATGTTTTCCACGATTTAATTTATGAAACTTCTAACAAGCCACAAGCCGATTGAAGCTACGAGTAGCATGTGCTCTGCGAATGCATTCTTCCTATATCGTCGTTCATGTAGTGGGTACAGAATGGTTCAACCTGCTTCAGCCTATGAAGCAATCTATGACCGGGGTAGCTTGGTCGGTATACAGAATTGGATTGCTGTAGTCTTTGAGGTTACCCTCCCCCCCCCCCCCCATAGAGCCCACTGCGCGCGGCAGAAGGCACGAGTCGCGGCGCGTGATGTTGCGATGAAAGTACGTGGACATTATATTCAACTTGACGCGAATTTTTCTAATACTCGATCGCTGACTCGCATGCTTGATCCACAACGGGCCTTCTGGGGATACTCTAGTCTTTCATCAAAGGAATCAGCACTAGTTGTTTTACTATTTGATCGCCACACTCAGACATCTCAGACATACGGTTGGAAGAGGGCTTTGTTTCTTACATTGGATAGTTGCAGTTTGGACAAATAAATCCTCGTGAAACGACCAGTAATCGCAAGAGTGCAACACGAGTCCTCTCAGCAACTTCTATTCTGTTCCATTCCTAGCGCCGGCTGACCAAAGCTGTTACTGCTGATGAGGAGTGGTTGTTCTAATGCTAACAGCCTGCTGTGGGCCAAGTGACTGTATTCGATCAGGAAGCGAGCTGATGAGAGAAACATGGACAACTTTAGGCGGCCTTTTGATCCACGTATGGAAGTCAAACTGCGAATCAACCACTGGGAACTGTCTCAGGCTTCGGCCTTGCAAGCATTCTGATTCTTTAAGTGGAAGCCGAGCTGTTTCGCACGAAAGGCATCCGCAACTCACTTACGCGAAGATCTAGAGAGAAAACAGTGTTGTAATAGGTCGTATTCCAAAACGGTTCAAACAATGAAATTTTTAAGTCGTGTGATAAATAATATCACTAGATAGCTTTAAATGCCCGAGGACGGCAGAGGTGAAAAAGTTGTCAGCCTGAGTGTTCAATTTCCATGAATTTTCTTAGCAAGGTAACATCGGGCGCCCTCAAGAAAAAGCAGACTCGGTCTTGCTTTGCCAGTTTGAAAGGCTTTGTCGTCAAGCTGTTGTCCTCGTCACTGATCCTGGTATGAATCGCACAGATAAGAATTGCTAATCAGAAATAAAGCCCTCTCGTATTCCAACAACAACTGGGAGGAGTTGAAATTGCAAGGATGTGGGACTTGTGCTGTCACAGCTCCTATTTGAGTTGAGCTTCTACTGCTGTAGATTTGGAACACTGCAACCACTCCACACTACTGGGAAATATGCTGGATGGTCGAATGGGGGAACCTGGGGAGTCACCAGAAACATGCAATGTTTTTTCGATGTTTTTTGGCTGACTCGAGATGGAGTGCATTGACAAACGCAAACTTCAGGTTAATATCTTTGCATCTCATGGAGATGTTTTAGTTCTGTTATCCCAACACATGACGCTGACGGCGCTCTGACAAACGACGGTCAGTCTGGCCACATTCCTTTCCAACAATAGATAGTATCTCGAGATTGAGAATGCTGGGGTGGCTAGGGATGTGGGTCATAGTCTATTGAAAACCCTACTTGGAGTAGAGGGCAAGATACGCACCGGGTTGAGAGCCGTAAGCCCTCACCCTTCTTCCGATGGAACGTTGGCTCAGCCTAAACTTCGGAATACCCTGAACGGTGCTCATAAAAGTGGGGGACGGAAATAGGTTTCTGGAAAAGATGGGGAAAGCTACGGTAGGGCGTATGCACCAGCTAGCCAATTGCTCAAATTAGACAACGTGGGCTGCACATCACGAACGGAAGCAGCTCACAAGGGCCTCCAACTTTTTTTTTCTGAGAATATTTATAGCAGTAAATGTGATGTGATTTTATGACTATGGGAGAACTTAATAGTACCAAGTGTACCAAGAGTTTTTAGAAAATATTTTGAAAAGGTACCACCGCCAGGGGGAGCTGCTACAGCAGTCATGGCAGACGGAGCGCCACCACCAGGAAGAGCTGTCATTGTTGAAGCTGAAATTGAAACAGCACTAATTATTATTATTAAAGCCGATGAAGCTATTCTTGGAACTGGCAGTGATCACCTCCAGCTGGAGCTCCCAACGCCGTCATTGTTGAAGCAGGCTTCAAAGCTGTCATTGTAGAAGCTGAACAGCGATGTATCAAGATAAATATAGTGTTAATTTTGATTTTGAATTTTTTTGTAATCTTTTTTATTTTAGCTGCTGAATGTGCTTTATCTATTCTCAAATTGTCTTTGGAAGCATCGAAAAAAAAGCAAATAGGTACCTCCGCCAGGAGGTGCCGCCACAGCAGTCATAGCAGATGGAGCACCACCACCAGGAACAGCTGTCATTGTTGAAGCTGAAATTGACAACATTTTAGGGGCATGGCTTGAGGTGGAGTTGTTGGGCAACGTGCTAGTGACTACCTCCAGCCGGGGCTCCTCCGACTGCCGTCATTGTTGAAGCTGGTTTCAAAGCTGTCATTGTGGAAGCTAAACAGTTAATTCTTGAGTGCAGCGGAAACGATAATGGTTGAATATTCAGGATTAGTGGTCACAGTGAAAAAAATTGAAGTGCGCAAGCAAACTGTGTTCCATTGCATGGCAAAAGGTTCTGAATCTAATTTCCGCCCTTGCTAGATGGAAATCCATATCCGTATTTTTATTTGCCTCCCAAGTTTTCTTCATCATCAAGCATCTGTTTTTAGAAACTTAAGCGCGAGGCACCTCTTCCAAATGCTAAGGTTAGCCGCTAAACGCAACTTTGTAGGGTCCTAGCGCCATATTCGCGCGCTTTCAAGCCGCACGCAGCCCATGATGGGCTTTATTGAAACTGTATAACATATGGGATATTAGCTAGAGCACTTCATGAAACCTTATCCTATTGGGTATTTTAGCAACATGAATTAATTTTAAACAGGTTCCATAGTGAACGGGATTCTACCGCGACGCACTCTTCATTTTCCTTGAAGGACGAATTCACGATTAGAATGAAGGTCGAAGAAGGAAGTAATTCACCTAGTTGAGGGACCCGCGGACCTCCTGAGGGTGCGGACTGAAGCGCAATTGGCACCGAAGGAGTTGACCTCGGCGACCTATTAAGGCTCAATCTTGGCGCGGTGGGCCAGTGCACGCCCACCGATCATCTGATCACTCGCCGCAGGTCTATACGTGGCGAGTGATTAGATAGTGAGAGAGCTGTTGAAGAGGGCACAGCGATGAGAGTCGCATCAATGCTCAAATCAACGGGCAAGGAAGGGGTCCCATTTCTCGGGTTCTGGGCCGTTTCTCATGGTTTTTCCTTCTTTCGTGTACCACTCACCATCCCTAAGTTAATTTGAAATGGGTTGCCTTTCCAGCGTGAATTCGTCCTTTAAATCATTGCTGACTGTCTGAAAACCAAGTAAGCCCATCTTCTAGATGAGGACTTCAGTAAGCAGTTTCAAGCACCCTTCCGATTGAACACTAGCTGTGAAACATTTGCAAAGACCACGACCACCACAAATGCAGTTGCGTAAAACCGGCTAGCATGAGGTCGCCAGGATTTTGGAATCTGCGCAAAAGATTGAACCTTGAACTGTCGCCCGCAGCTGACACACTGATGACATTACCGCCAAAGTGTTAACCAAAAAACTCGTTGTACGCCTCGGTTTGATTCACACTGCATGCAGATTGATAATTTGGATTTTCAGATAGAAATTAGTTTGTCGAGGTAGCGTAAATCATTTAGGCATTTCTCACCGCCGGCAGGTTGTCCTTGAACAGCAGTCATCGTAGAAGCTGAAAACGTGCAGTAATTTGAATTGAAAGATTTAATTAGAGATTCGACTGGTTGTATTGTCATGAAGTCAGCAAAGGCATAGTGTTTGGCAGACGTGGATCTTCTCCACACAACGTCAAGCTATTGCAATGGATATTTTTATTAAAG